GTTCAACATGCAGCTACTAGGATCCCCTGCAGTTTGCATATTGTTGTGGCGTTGGTATTGATGATGCCATCATACACCTGCTTCAACAAACCCACTGTCATTTAGATAAGGCAGACAGCATTGTGATGATGATTTTGTTTGTTTTCAGTCTGACTGACTTTGTGAGAAACTTGAGAAGACTCGGGTGGAGGAAGCAACAATTGCCTGGATCAAAGAATACTTGACAAACAGACCACAGTCTACATCTGACTTCAAGTGCCAGAGTCCTTTCGTCAGCAGAAATACTGATGACTCTGCAATCATTGGGTGAATCAAAGATGGACAAGAAGCTGAGTACAGGGAGCTGGTGAACTGCTTTGTTGCATAGTGCGGAAACAATCATCTGATCCTTAATGTCAACAAAACAAGGGAGATGATTGTAGAAGAAACAGGAACAAGTTGAAACCTATTAAGAAGAAGTGGAGGTGGCTGAGGAGTTAAAACCTTGGTGTTCACTTGGACAACAAGCTAGAATGGAGATGCAACTGTGAAATCATCTATAAAAAGGGACAGAGCAGACTGGACTTCCTATGGAAGCTTAGGTCCATTGGTGTTTGCAGCAAGATTCTACATATCTTCTATAATTCTGTTTTAATGGTGGTATTATTCTATCCTCTGCTGGGGTAACAGCATCAGAGCTAATGACTTAAGCACAGCAAGCTAATTAAGACAAACGGTGTAGGTACCAGATCTGCTCGGGGTCCTGCCCCTTCTTTTGACGTCAACATATGGCAACTCCACTCGGACAAACTGTAGTGCACCCGTTTGTTAACCCTTTATAGGGAAAGTTTCCGTATTTGATCACTTGCATACCCCTTACAAATGAAGTCCCCCCCCGTGTCCATCAGTGAGGTCTAGAAGCAAAAGATCTATATCTAGCCATTCAGCAAAGATACTGCTGTAAATTAAGTTGTAAAAAAAAGTCAACAAGTCAAGTATAAAGGTAAAAAGCTAATTGAAAAGTTCAAAAGTAAAGTTAAAAAGTTAATAAGCCTAGATAACAATTATATTATCAGAATCAGAAATACTTCAATAATCCCAGAGGGAAATTGCTTTTGTTAGGTTTATTAGGTTTATAAACTAAAAAAAAGTAAGTGCTGGTATCAGTATTAATGCCTCTAAGGTTATGTTGGATCAAACATTTGCTTTTTTTTGAGTGTTTTTCATTAATTTCCTATAAGAAGTTATTTTTCTCAATATATCCGGGCTAGTTGGTCTTTCTTGTTATTAGATCATTTTTGCCATCAAAATACCCATATTTTTTATGTTACAAAGGTAATAAGGTCTTTTCCTGGATTCCAATAACACTATTTGCTTGAAATTTTGATTTTCAAAGTATTTCACTGAGTGCCCTATAAAGGGTTAACACTGGAAGTCCCAGAGATTTTCAGTTTTCCTGCAAGCCCCCCCTCCCCTCTTCAAGTTTGTCTATTCATTCTACCTTGCTAAGTGTCCTTGTTGTAATGCAAATAACTTGTGATATGACCAACCCTTCTACATGAGACTGGATAAAGGCTGAAACAAACTGGCATCAAGACCATGTTCCAAGCACTTTTCAGTACCTGCCCCTGCAACATCATACCTTTTTGCAGGAATATATTTATAAGTCATATCTAAATTTTTTATTGAGGCAAACCTATTGAACAACCAGATATCATACGGGTCCTAGTTTCTGAGCTGAGAAAAGGTCATAACCATGCTTTTCCTACAAGGCATGGCAGAGCCTATTTCTATTGTCCATTCACCAACAGACTCATTCATATTGCAAAGCTCCCTATATGAAAGAAAGAATAATTGTATTTTGCCTTGTCTTGCCTTTTTATGTCATTCAAAATTTTATCTTAGAGAATGACAAACAGTATGCCTTTAGTATTGGAGTAACATTTATGTCACACGAGGAACAGCCCTAGTCTCTTCATCTCACAATGCTGTCTCATGTGTTCTTCCTTTATTGCCTTTTCTTGCGTAAAAATGTTACAAAGTTCATTTGCAAGTAGCAGAATTAACTTTGGTGGACTCTCTTTGGTCCCTGTGCACGGCTTGTACAACACATGCTCGTGTGTTGCAGCCAAGTTTGTAGGCCAAGCCAAGCTTGAAATCTCAATTACTCTGAGTCGATCTGTTGTGCCTATTTATTCTGGGAGCTAGACTTCCCACCCACAACCTTTACATTTTCCCCTGCCGCCAGATTGGAATTTGAGCTGGAAACCGGTTTCCAGCGCAAAACTGGCTTTCCGCTGGAAATCGCAAGCGGATGATGTTTGCTTGTTTGCCCTCTAGTAAATAGGGCAGATGGTCATTGTTGTATAAATATTCTTGTCAGCTGATGGAGATATTTTCATTGTACAGATCAGTTATCTGATCACTGCGCTGGTGGCCCCGTTGTCTGAAATCATTGCGGTGTTGGCGAAAATGATGACGTAGACCTAGTTATATTTTATTACAAATATGATTTCCGCCCCACCCCCGCTTTCAGGTAAAACACTCCTTAACAGAGAAGCTTGAACTAAAACCAAACTGAAGGGGGTGGAATGGTTCTACATCGACAGCGCCAATGGGGCATTTACATCTGAAAAGGG